TGCAGGCCTCGCTTTGGGGAGTGGGGGGCACAGGGGGAAGAGGAAGGTATCAGGTACACGAGATGGTGCTGAAAAGATAGAATGGGGGCCTGGTGGGGCAAGGGTGTGGGTACTGTCTGCTGAGGCACCCACATCCGGGCCTACTGTCATGGTGCCTGTGTGTATCCAACACATGGACTGACAAAGACCTCCCCAGGACTCCAGGGGGGACAAGAGCAGCCCCTCGGGCCTCTTCTCCTTGACTCTGTCGCCTAAAACCCGACAGGAAGCAGAGTGTTCCCAGGCACGAACCCTAGCTGACTGGCCATCAGGCCAATGGCACTGCTCTCAGGAGGTGGCTCCCTCTGGCACAAAGTACCACTGGACTCCAGGTTATTTTAAGTTGAGTGAAATGCTGACCGCAGGCTTCCAACTAATGAGACGGTAGCAGGATTTTTCCCAGGTCTTCATCCCACAGTTAGAAATTAGGCCTGAAAAGAAGGTCATTATGGAAATATGGGGCCTGTTTTCCAGAAGGTGATACTTTAGAAGCACGAAGAACAAATCATCCAGATAATACTTGTTTCCGTGTGAAAGTGGCTGAGGGTGGCCCCCAGAGCTAACACATTTATTCTCAGCCAGAGTGGGAGGGCAGCTGGGATGGCGGCCATGCTGGGGACTGGCCCTCACTCACTGTGCCCCTCCCCCACGCAAGGGGCTCCTTCCCCCTGCCCAGGGCAGCCCCAGCAAACTGGGAAGCTTAGGAAGACTCCTCAGAGAAGGGACGCATGCACTGGGGGTGATGCTGGTTTCCCCGCCTCCCCTCTCTCCCATAGCAATGCCACCTATTCAGGTGCCCCGGGCCCTCATGCTTCCTCTGCCCCACAAAACTCCCCATCTTCCAAGAACCTTATTCACTGTTTATCTCTTAAAGCAAAATGAAAGCAATACATCCTCTCTCCCAGGAAGAATTTCTGTTTAAGTTTTCTGTCTAGACTTTATATCCAATACTTCATTGAAAAATTAGGAGAAACTACACACACACACACACACACACACGTGATTACCATAAGCTCAAGCCTACTTCTAGGACTTAGAGCTTACCCTGGCTAATCGGAGCTGTACCTCCCTTCCACTGGGCCACTTAGAGGACCCCACTCTGGCCCTTCTCCAGCTGTGCATGAGAAATGAGTATGTGGGGCCAAGGGATGCAGCCAGGGAGAGCCCCTCCTCCTTCACTTCCAGTCCCAGTGAGCTGGGAACCCACGATCCCCATATTTTCTCCCCACTTCCAGGGCCTGCACTGTCTTCCTCTGAGGGGCAGACCATGCCACTGTGTGCACCCTTGCCCAAGGGGTGGCCAAAGGACAGCTATTGGGGTGAAGTCTGAATAGAGCTTGGGTGTATGGACTAGGGTGTCTCATGGCGTGCACCTAGAGTCCCCTGCCACCACGTTACCGTGCAGCACTCCTGAGAATCCAAGATTGCTAAATGTGGTTGCACATCATAGTTGTTAAAGTAAAGGGATAAATGATATTTTATTTAATGGTTTGTTAGCTTGATTTGGAACTTGGAAATATTTACACATACCCATATGGGCTCTTGTACGTGTTCTTGTCCCAGGCTGAATGCGGTAGAGGAGGGTCTGATGTTGGGTGTGTTCTCTACACTCCAAAATCACAACAGAAGGAAACTTCAGGGCACAAAGGGAAGTAGAAGGGAGACAGAGTAAAGGCAGCTTATTTCTGCACTGAATATATAAGTTTAAAATGTAGCATTGCATCAGGTTTGTTTTAAGGAAGAGATGGAAGGAAATATTCATGAAAAGAAAATGTTTTTCTTCTCAAAATTGGAGTGTGTGGAATGCTGTTGTGCCCAAAAGTAAGAAAGTGCTAGAGATGCAGAAATGTCAAAAAGACACAAGAGCAGCTTGAAGGGGCTCCCACTGGCCAAATGTTAGGCAATTTGAACATCAAAATAAATAATAAGACTAATAGATTATAATTCATTGAATAAAATAGGAATCCCCGAGTCCATACTGACATAAATAAATACCTGAATAAACATGGGGGGGGGAGTTTTTCCTTATAGGAAAAAGCAAACTAAATGTGGAAAGAGTTAGAAATTATCACTTGGCAGGGCACCTGCGTGGCTCAGTCCGTTAAGCCTCCGACTCTTGGGCTTCGGCTCAAGTGAGGTGTTGTGAGCTCAAGCCCTGCTTTGGGGGAGCCTGCTTGAGATTCTTTCCCCTTTCCTCTGCACACCCCCTTGCTCTCCCCTCTAGTCCCTCCCCCCTCAAGTAAATAAATAAAATCTTTGAAAGAACGAAATTATCACTTGGCAAACGTTGTAGTAATGATTGAGTCAAGAACCATGAATGAGGTAGGCTAAAGTTTAATGAGGAGCAGGGTATTTACACAACTTCAAGGTGTACCTTGACAAAGCATTTAGTAATTACAAAGGGAAAATGTAGTAAATTCACATTGGAGATAACTGGCAGGCCAGGTGATCCAAGTTAACGTCACCAGAAGGGGACACGCCCACACGACGTGCCTCCTAATATGACACGCACACGCTAGGGAGCCAACATTCCTTCTGTGCGGTTCCACCAAAAACGTATAACCTTAATTTGATCATGAGGAAATCTCTGACAAACCCCACGTGAGAGACCTTCTACGAAGCAATTGGTCTGTACTCTTCAAAAGTTATAAAGGTCATCAGAGACAAAGACAGACTACAGACTGAAGAGGCATGATAACTAAATGTAATGTGTGACCATGGATTGGATCGGGGACCAGGTGTCTATACAAAGGACCTTACTGGGTCCTTTTGGGGGCAACATATGAATGAGGTCCAGAGATTCCAGTACCAATATAAATATCTAGATTTTTATCATAGTACTCTGTTTATGTAAAAGGATATCCTTGTTCCTAGAAAATATACATGGCAATATTTAGAAATCATGGGGCATCATGTCTGCAACATACTCTTAAAGGGCTCTGGGAAAAAATGTAAAAATATATATCTGCATTTTTATATATGAGAGAGTGAAAATGACAAAGAAACTGTTAGGAATCTGGGTAAAGGGTTATACAAATTCATCCACTTCCCTTATCTCTGTGTCCCTTACCATCCCTGACCCCCCGCCATTTCCACACAGAGAAGCCAGCCCTTGCCAGTCTCTGTGATGGGGACAAACACTCTGCAGGAGTCTCCCTTCCCTGCTTCTGCCTGATCTGCTGAAGACCACAGGGATCCAGCCAGGTTTTCTATAGACCTTCCTGAACATGGAGAAAAAAGTCCGAGACAAAGGAGCCAAACAATAGATGTGGGGATAATAATGAAACTGTAGCCCCAAGTTATAAACCTCTCTAATGACACCTCACTTTTTAGACTCGACATTTTATACATGTTCTTCCATTTTTTATCATAATCAAACAAAATGGTACATAGTACCATAATGACAGTAAAGCTCGGCCCCTTGTGGCATGCCTAATAATTTCCCTTTATCCAAATTTAATTAAGATAAAGTATATGATACCTCCATCTCAAATCGCTAGCATTAACACTTCCAATTTCCTATTTCTGGTCATTTTTGTACTACAAGGAAAATGTACTGCAGAGGGAAAGATCGTGATGCTGCTGAAACTTGACTGAAAGTTGGCCGATGGGCAACTTCATCACAGGATGGCTCAAAATGTTTATTTATCAGCTGATATCTACAGGCTCAAATTTAGCATGCAAACATGGTTTAAGACCCAGTGACCAAGGCATGAAAGGGTGTGTCTCATGAAGACTGGAACTTACAAAAGGAAAATGTCCCATATAAATTGCTAACAGGTAAAAGCGAGAAGAACACTTATAAAAGCTACAGAGATATATTGTGATGCTCCTGACATGAGCCTAACAGACTCAGGCCCCTGCTTCTGTGCTCCCAATCCACCCTCAAAATCTGTACACCCCTTACCATGGGAGTCACTGTAATTGTTAATTAACATGCATAAACACGCACGTGCACACACATACACACACACACCATCACCCTTGTCAGACTCGGAATTCCTTAAGAAAAGTGATCTTATCCTTTTTTTTTGGACCAGCTTCTAACACAGTGCCAGGTTCAGACATAGATGTCGAAAACAGAATCGTGGGATTAGTGAATTGTAGGAATCAGTTATCCTATGGCCCACACCTGGGACCGGATCGTCGTCGCCACTCCTAGCCCGAGTCACTTTTCCAACGTTTACACAATAATTCACCTTGTCCCTCTTTATCTACCAAATATACAGATTTGGGGATTGAAAAGGCCAACGTTTCACAACCCTCAATACACTTAGAATTTCTAGACTGAAGAGAGATTTATTGACGTGTCTCAAATAAAGATGCTCTTGATGTGTTTCCTAACTAAGTGGAATCAGGAAGTCCCGAAAACTAGGCCAAAATGCAAGTTCAAGGTATTTTGGACCGAACTTGGTGAGGAAGCAATTACCTAATCTAGATAAGATATGACCTCTCAGGTTTAGAGGTCTTAATTATAACAAAGAAAATAAGGAAGCTATTTTCTCTATCACTAATGAAAAAAAAATTTCAAAAACAATTTATAATAAGCTTAAGATTCTCCATCTAAAGAACTGGAGCAAATCATATAATTTGATAGCTGGAAATATACTCTCTAAACGTCTCCATTTTACAAATGAGGAAATCTAAGGTACTGTGTCGATGAGTGGGTTTTACTTACTGGTGGGCGGGGGATCAAATCATGCAGCATAAAAAAGAACCATGAATCATGCACTAGAAGAAGATGGATGTGTTACTCTTGGTGTGGTGTCATTTACTGTTTGTGACACAAATACTGTCTTCAGATTGTTTGACACAGCCCTGGCCATTGGGAGCAACAGGACACACTGCAGACGAGCTCTGAGGAACCACAGGGAATTTTCCATATCTATTTTATGAGGAGCTATGAAATTATTTATGGCTATGACAGATAAAGGAAGCAGCGAGGAGCCATTTCAACTGACCTCTTCTCCAACCATGGGAGGTAAGTAGGGCTTTCACATTTCAGAGTCGTGAAAGCATGACCGAACACATGCTGGGGGAATTTCTTCAGTTCAGCCTCAGTCATCTTTCGAAACCCCAGAACCACATCAGCCCAGAATGGCACTTCTTCCGTAGGAACGCTTCGAAATATCTGCCAACTCAAATACATAAGTGGAAAATTTTCCTGAAATTTTGTGAAATACATTTCCTGTGAACCCCACATGACATTCTCTAAAGCATTTTAAAAACACACTTCCTGGGGCGCCTGGGTGGTTCAGTTGGCTAAGGTCATGATCCCAGAGTCCTGGGATCGAGCCCTGCATCAGGCTCCCTGCTCAGTGGGGAGTCTGTTTCTCCCTCTCCCCCTCTCCCCCTCTTGTGCTCTCTCTCAAATAAATAAGTAAAATCTTTAAAAATAAATAAAAATAAAAACACAATTCCCATACACATAAAAAGAAAAAGATCTACTCTTCCATTCTCTTGGGTTCAGGTAATTCAGCAGCTAAGTTTGAAATGTTCATGGTTGAGGGGAATAAGACATTTAAAAGTTGTGTTTTAAAAATTGGATTTAACGCTTTTTTTTTCTAAAAAGCTATTGCTCAGACTTTTTTTATTGACTTATGATTATGCATTTTTGAGGAAAGGTTTTGGTGTCTTGTAGAACATTTTAGGTAAGTTGTAAGCATCCATCAGAAGCTTAAAGGTTGCCCTCAATTCCAAACAAAATATCTAAATTGGAGTGAGCCATGGTGGGTGTAGAGGAGGCAGAGTGTGAATTACAAGTTAAGTTGTGGGTCATCCCCTCACGCTGTCAGTAAGAGAAGCTGAGTTGTCAGGAGGAGCCCAGTTACTGTTAGGCCACCAGCATGGCCGGGGTGGATGAGGCTGGAATGATACTGGTTGTTAACAAGCCAGTAATAGCGCTACTAATAACTGCTAAGCATGTGTTTGGATTTGCAAGTCTTGGTCTGTTTTCATCAATAGGAATAAGTGTTGTAAATCATGGCTGCTCTAAAATAGCAAGGAAAATCACTTGAGTGCTGTACATAGTGGCTCATGATGTGGTCGTTCACACACCAGAATTTATATATCTCTAAGGAATTCATTCAAAGGGGCCCCCGGGGAAGGTATGAATGCTGTTTGCTGCAGAGCTCCACACTGGGCCTTCTTGCTGTCTCTTCTGCACACTCTCCCTGGGCTAGGTTGCCCCTTCTCTATCTTCACCATTGTCTACAGGCCAAACACTCAGGGGGCTATGCCTCCAGCCCTCTTTTCTCTTCTGAGCTCCACAACCACACCCAGACCTATGTTGACTTTCTCTCTCTCCCCATCCCACATGCCATCAACTGTCAAGTCTCAAGTCCCATCAACTTCTCAAATCCATCTACTCTCTGTCCCCACAATCAACACCTAATCGGTTGTACCACCATCTCTCTCTCTCCACACATCTGTTCTCCACACTACAGGCAGGATATTTTTGACATGTAAACATGGTCAGTTACTTCAATGTGTAAAATCTCAATGGCTTCCCATTGCCCTGGATGTTTTTCATTCCCTCCAACACACCACAGTAGTCTTAGACTCAGGTCTACGCGTATGCGGTTCCTTCTACCTGGAATGCCGCCCCTTGTGTCCCTGACCCTGTCTCTGTCCCCTTCACTTCTACAGTATCACCAGACTAACCTACACTCATCCGGATGGTCTCTGCTGAAACATCACTTTGTTCCAGGCAGCTTCTCAAACTTCCCAAAGCAAGTTTATTCTCCGATGATATACTTCCATAGTGCCCCGTACTCTCTTCCATTGGTAACTCAGGTCTTATTTGCAACTAGTTAGATTTAGGACATTCCCTACGGACCATAAGCTATATGAGGGCAGGACTGTGTCTTTTTTTCTCAAAAATTAACTCAACGTATATTTATTGAGCGTTTACTATATGCTAAGCAATGTATACTAAATGGTTCCTTATTATATCCCTAATACCTAAGTGAGTACCTGATACTGGTGAATGCTGAATAAATTGTTTTGAAGAAATGCATAGATGAACAGATGAGTAAGGCTATACATTTATGCCAAAGATGCTCAAGGACATTTTTGCTCCTGTCTTCACTTGACTGATTCAAATCTCTCTCTCTCTCTTTTTTTTTTTTTTTTTTGTGGAAGCAAGTGGGACAAGAATCACTCATGTGAAAGAAATAAATAACTCTCTTTTAGACCAGCTTGAAGTATATTCCTTTTAATATCCTCGATGGTGGCAAAGTCTTAGTCTTGAAAGGACATTTGAATTTTAGACACAACTGTTTTCAAAAATTACTTAGAGACAAAATTTGTGAGCTAGATATGGTCACATTGGTTTTGGACAAAAACAAATTGTGGCCATAAATCAAGGAGAACAATTTTTCTATGTGACTCATCAGCTGGATTTGGAGTTAGAGTATCAATTCATCTTCAGAAGGTAGAAAAGAAGTGAAAGTTGCTACTTGTGCAGACTGTGGGAAATTAGTGACGTCAACACTATTAGTGATGGTGAGGGGGGGCAAGAAGAGGAAAAAGGTAGAAATCTGCCTGATGCAGGTGTGCTCACTAGCAGAAAATGTCAGCGGACAGTCTGAGCAAAAGAGGAGAGAGGACAGATTTTTCCAAACAGTACAAAAGATGCAGTGGTTTTGAGAACTTAGTAAAAAGCAAGCATCCCTCTGTTCTTCAGAAAGCTATGGGGCATTACTGTGTTATCACGTAGGATATCACAGGTGACATATGTGTTATGTCATAAATTAAAGACATAAAATGACAGAACAATTAGTGATCTCTTTTAAAGAAGCTATAGAAAGATATTGTCATATTCTAAATGCTAGTCTGCACTAGATACGCCGAATAGGATTTTTTTAACTCTTTTATTTAATTATGCATGTCTCCTGAAATCAGATATTAAGAATCAAATAGAGGGGCACCTGGATGGCTCAGTCAGTTAAGTGTCCAACTCTTGGTTTCAGCTCAGGTCATGATCTCAGGGTCATGAGATCAAGTCCTGCATTGCATCCGGCTCCATGCTGGGTGTGGAGGTTGCTTAAGATTTTCTCTCTCTCTGCCCCTCCCCAAGCCCCCACTCTGCTCCCACACTCTTGCCCTCTCTCTAAAAAAAAAGAATCAAATAGAAATGTCCTAACCATTTCAAAAATATGGTTCCTAACTAGAGGGTATTATGCTAAACGAAATAAGTCAATCAGAAAAGACAAGTATCACATGATCTCACTGATATGTGGAAGTGGACAAACAAGGCAGAGGATCATAGGGGAAGGGAGGGAAAAATGAAACAAGACGAAACCAGAGAGGGAGACAAACCATAAGAGACTCTTAATCTCAGGGAACAAACTGAGGGTTGCTGGAGGGGAGGGGGGTGGGAGGAATGGAGTGGCTGGGTGATGGACAATGGGGAGGGTATGTGCTATGGTGAGCGCTGTGAATTGTGCAAGACTGATGAATCACAGACCTGTACCCCTGAAACAAATACTACATTATATGTTAATTTAAAAAAATTTTAAAAGAGTAATCCCTAAAAATTGAAAATAACATAAAAAATATACTGTGTACCCAGCTGATGTAATAATCATACAAAGTGGTACTAATCCCAACAACTTTAAAGCAGAGTTACATGACTGTATATCCTTGTATGTATACCCTTAAGAAAAAAATATAAACAAAAGTTTAACTGTTATAATAATCATATTAATAACAAAAAAATATGGTTTCTAAATGGCACTTCAAAAGGTAACTTTAGTTACCTACAACATTACCTTTTTTGGGACATCTCACTCTCTAATATCACACCTATTGGCTTTCCATCAGCCACATGATCCGTACATAGTCCAAGCTCGGTGCTTACCTGCTATCAGTTTTTTTAGCCATATTTGTAAATCACTGCATAATCCCTGAGGAAACTCAAAATTGTATTTGTGATGAGAAACTGTAATGGCTGTTTAAAAGTCTAATACTATAAGGATGGCTGGGTGGCTCAGTTGGCTAGGCAACCAACTCTTGCTTTTGGCTCAGGTCACGATCTCAGGGTCCTGGGATCGGCCTGGCATAGAGCTCTGTGCTCAGCATGGAGTCTACTTGGATTCTCTCTCTCCTTCTGCCTCCATCCCTCCTCCTGCACACTCGCTTACTCTCTCTTTCTCTCAAAATAAATAAATAAAATCTTTTTTTAGAAGTCTAATACTGTATATACTAATATATATAATTAATATACTAATAACTTGTCTTTCTTGACTTCTTTGGAGTAAAGCCTAAAATCTTCCTCTCACATCTAGTTCAGCATTCCGCTCACAGCAGATGCTCAACAATATTTCCCATATTGAATTCTAAAGTCCGTTAAGATCATTCTAAATTCTAAAATAACTTCAGATTTCCTCTCTTACCCAGATACCAGATGAACACCAGCATCTTCAGCTTCTGCAGAACTGGCAATTGCAAATAGGTGATCAAAGGTCTCTCTAAACCACTGCTTCTGCTTGGGAATGGGTGTGTCTGTAACCACGGGGGAAAGCAAAGCGGAACAGAAAAAAAGTGGCAATGATAACTATGCTTCAGACAAGCCCCTTCCTAGAAACTGAGAGAAAATAAAGAGGCAAGAAGGAACATTTAGATAAGGCACTACGTCGCGGTGGAGATTCCATCAGCAACCAGAGTTTTGAATGTTGACACATGCTGTTGACTTCTGTTCACGTAAAGATTAATCATCAGAGGGTAAATTGGCCAATCAGGACAAAATCTGATATATGAACCATCTGGAAGGTGGTCTTTGGCACCAGATAATATTCCAGACCTTGACGGGTCCATAGCCAATCTGAGCAGAAGTTAGTTCAGGCCGAGGGAGGTATATCCAGCTGGCCCCACAGTTGAGACGATAGAAGAAAGAACCTAGAACCTCTTTCCTGGGGCCTGAAAACATGGTGGGTAACAGGGGAAGATCTGTGGGGCCCAGGGCAACCAGACAGAGAACAGATTATACATCAATAGGAAGCCCAGATTCCTTACCCTCTGATACAAGGAGACAAGGTTGGCATTGTGGAGCTGAGCTCCTCAGGAAGGACTTGCTGCAGCCCCATCCAAGGCTGCCATTGCCTCCATCCCCCTCCAATCCATGGACTCATGCAATAGCTTAGGGTAGCATTCCCTGGGTCACTAGAGCATGTAGGGACCACACTAGGCACCATGTCTCTGGCAGAGTCCTGTGGATCAGTGCTCCCTGTCAGCCAGGCATCTCTGCCAGAACACAAGAGGCTGGACCCAGATCCTATCAGAGAGGAAATAAGGGTCATGGTTCAAGCCCCAAAATAGTAGTGTCCAGTGCAGGCACAGAGAGCGAGCATAATCAGGAGGCGCTGACAAATCCAAATGGGGTGAAGAATTTGGCCATCTGATCCATAGGGAAAAGTCATGAGGGAGAATTGAGGATCAGGCTAGGGACTGGGGAACAATAATCCTGAGGGGCTGCTGTGGGCGGGGAGCCACAGAGGAGGCGAGGGAGTTGAGGCAGAGAGGATGCTGGGTAAACTCTGCCTGAAGAGATGTCCCTAGAGTTCATGGTAGAGATGAAAAGGCCTCTGGAGACAGTCTGCTCCCCAGGGTCCCCAGGTCAATGAGGGCATTTCAGTAGCAGGGTTTTATAACAACTTATAACAAGAGTGCCAATAAATATTTCTTCAATGGTGGATCTGTGCTGTCGTCATTAAACACGTGCCTGTGTGAACTCACCACTGTCTTCCAAAACTGCAGACTGGGCCACTGGCTTAGAAATAAGGAAGGAATAATAAGCTGCAAAAAGAGCTAAATTAGACCTCACATGAATTATATCCCAATGATTCAAGCCAGTGTCTGGGGCTGTATTGAAACGCATCCCTCTGTTCCTATTTCAAAGCTTAACAACAAAATAGTGGCTGCAACTCACATGCTGTAGGAGTCGTCCCCAAAGAATGGACAATTCCAATTCAGCAGTGGATAGCACAAGGCAGCCTGGTGATCTAATTCACGTTCAAGCACTGCTAAGAGAAAACTGTAGGTGGAGTAATGGTAATCATCGCGACTGTTGCTACAGCACTTACCAGGCACTGTTCTAAGTGCTTTATGTGTATTAACTTATTAATCCCCCAGCAACCCTGTAGAACAGGTGTGGTCCCCATATGGTACTGACATTTGTGAGCACAGAAGGTATCACTGTTATCACTGGGGTTGGTCTGAAAGAAGCCCAAAGAGAAGACTGAAGTCCTTATCTGGAATGCCAGAAAGAAGCACTCTCTGATCCAGGGGCCCCAGCCACCTAGCTGAAGAGTGAGATCAGGCCTCGATGGCCTGCATGGACTCTTAGATGAGCCTCCTTCGCAGATGATTCCATGACTATCACGCAGCCTTCTGACCACTCACCCAGGGCTGGTGCCAGGCAAGGGGTTCCTGGACAATGGACACAAGAGCTCTGGTCACAAGAAAGGTGTCCAGAAAGTGTGAACTTGCATTCTGCAAATACACCAGGTTCCTGAGCTTATTTCCTGTGCACGTGTAACTCCGATTAAAAAAAAATAATAATAAAATAAAAGCTAAAATTAAAGCGGCGGGGGGAAGAGTAGAAATGAGGAAGTGGAGACAGTGAGCATAAACCTCATTGGCTGCAAAATGATTTTGGTTTTTATTTAATGCCGTTTCCCTCCTCCTTTCTATTTCATGTGAAGAATACAGAATGGAAAGCATGTGTAAACATGTTTTTAAAAAAATCAATGCATCTTTAGGCCCGAATACATATGACTGATTGTTTGTATACTGGCTTAGAAGTGAGGATAGTTTTAGTCCCATTACAAGTAATTTCTGAGCTGGTGGTCATGACTGGTATCAGTGGAAAGCCTTAGAATTACCAGTTGTGGTTGTCATGAGTGCTCTTCACCAAATACTTCTGGCTGGCTGCCTCCTGGGAGCCTTAGAGAACTGGACTTCCTGACCACCTTCAGAGGGGTGGGAGCAGGGGACTAGTACTGGCCAACAACCTGTCATCAGAAGTGATGAAAGTTGCTTCCTGGCCAGAGCCTTTAACTGCTAGGGTGAGACCCCCCCTCCCCCAGAGCTGTCTCCCCCCAGGCACAGGTACTGATGACATCCAAGACAGCAGCTACCCAGCCACTTAGGTCCCAGGTGATGAGCAGAGCCCTTGCTGCTGCTCAATTGACATGTGCTTCGAGCCAGAAACGAACCTTTGTCTTTTAAGCTGCTAAGGTTTGGAGGTTGTGTTTGTCCTGCAGTGTAACTGAGCCTTTGCTAACAGATGAACCAGGAAGAGGTTAAAATTGAGCATTATAGGGACATGCATATCCAGCTTTCCTTGTCCACAGAATGTCTGTCATATCTGACAGAGGAGCTAAAATCCCTGTCTTACCTGCATAGACATGAGGAATAAGCATGCCAGCTGCCACATCGCTTGTGGTATCAGGAGTGAACTTGTCTGAAATGACTGTAATGGAGCATCCCGGGACTAGTTTGGAAACGCACATGGCGGTAGAGAGCCCCACCACGCCTGCCCCCACAACTGCGATCCGTACTGGAGCCATGGGCCTGGGAGGAGAGAGAGTGTGAGCTATAAACCTTGTTTAAGGGTTCTTCCATCCAGTACAAAGCCTGGCCTTGAGGACTCTTTCCTTAGGTCTCAAAATGAGGTCTTTCCCATCAACATTTCTCATGGGATAAAGAGAGCCCCCTGTAAGCTCTCTTTCTGCTAGATGTTGGGGTATAGGACAACAACGTCTCAATGGAGTTTTAGACATTAGCACAAAACCAGCCTGAAGTTGCCTTTAAAGCACACTACAGGTAAATGGGTCTGCACTGGGTGGGGGGCAGGATTTCTACTCATTCTGCCCCTTCCTAAACCACGTTTCCTGTGGGCACAGCCTGGGAAGCTTGGTGAAGTCCGCAAGGTGGACAAGAGCAGTGGAGATGCCATCTCTTCTCCCAGAAACCCCCTAGGAGCGGCCACTGAGAGGACACGACCCGTGGGGCAAATGTGGAACTCAGCTCTTATTGTTTACAAACTGGTTTTTTAGTTACAAAAACGAGACAAAAAGTTTGAACAACTGAACCCTGCATTCCCCTCTCCTGCCCCTCTAACTGGAAACCAACTCTCCTCTCCTCTCCCCTGCCTCTGTCACTGCTTTCCCACCCCACACCCCTCATCCCCCCCCCCGCCCCCCAACCACCGTGCCTGAACCTGGATTCCTTCCTGCGGACTCAGGTGCTGATTCAGTAACGGCGGTGGGGGGGAGGGGCGCACCTCATGGCCTCCTAGCCTCAACTCCCTCATCTGCAAACCAAGCCCTGTGAATTCTTTATTAGCTCCTTTGGGCTGGAAATAAGAGAGACCCACGGAGGTTATCTCACAAAGGCAGCTCCTTCTGAGAGTCGGTATGGAAATGCAGGAGGCGGACATCCAGAAGCCTGAGACTGGCACCCAGCCTGGGAACTACAGGGTTGATGAGGGCCCGACACCCTCCCTCCTCCTCACCACTGAGCAGCAGGGGCCCGCAGAGCCTCGCTCAGCTGTCAGCTTCCCCAGCCACTGTTGCTTTCCTGCTTGTCTTTCCACTTCTGTTCCCACTCTCTAACTCTCTCTGTGGGTCTCAGGCTGAAACTCCAGAGAGAGAACATGCAATTATTCCAGTTGGCCAATGTCATCTTTATCAAAGTTCTAGTACCAGGTGAGCTCACTGGGCTAAGCCAGCCTACAAATGTGCCTCTTGGCACGGTTGCCCTTTCCTGCAGATCGTGGCTACCTGCCCATAAAATTCACCTTTCCCCTGGAGGGCGTTGGGCAGTTCTGCTGTGAGCGGGGCAAACATGGCGGAGCTCAGCTGTCAGTGGTTTCTTCCAGCTCTGACAGTCTCTGGCTCCATGATAATTTAAAGTCCTCCAGTGAGGTTTAATGAGTGTTATTTCTATGTCTCAAGCAGTATATGCAATTCCTCAGCCATTAGTTAATCTGCTTCCTCCCCCGTGGGCTGGCTAGCTGAGAAGGAACCAGATTGCCGAGACAGAGGGAAGGGTCTGGGGCAAGGGCGAGACCAGTGGAGGGGTGGGGGCAAGCTGGAAGAGCAGAGCCCCACTCATGTCCCCTGGAGGAAGAAGGCACCCCCATATCCCCTTGCTGGCTTTCCTATTTCACTGGCTCCGCTGCCCAGCAACTTTCTCAAAATAGCTCTAATAAATTAAGTCGAGAGGGAAAGTAATCTGTGGCTGAGAACAGCCAGCTGCCAGGGAGGAGGAAAAGTGAGCCAGCAAGGTGGGTACATCCTGGCCCAGTGACTTGTGAATCACAGTCACCTGATCCCATTAAGACAGCCCCAAACCCCCAGAGTACATATAGAATGACCCTCTGAGCTGCAAACAGAAGGATTCAAGTACCTGTCTCTGAAAAAGCGGTCTTGGAACCCACAGAAGGCTCTGGCATCAACACTTGTTTTCCCAGTGAGCGCTTGGTCAGGTGCCCTGAGAGACAGAGAGAAAGTAAAACTGCTTCCCATTGGGGAGTTTATTAAGGACATTTCCTCTAATCTTCCTCTCCATTGGCCCATACCCCCGTGTCTCTGTAACTGAGTTCCCTGGAGAAAGGAGGGATTAACACTCATTTTGTAAGCTCCGTGGAACTGTGGGTCTGCCGAACCCCTGGGAGCTGGTCCACCCCTCAGCAGCCATTCTCCTTCTAGTTTACAAACCTCTCTATCTTGCCACCAGTCTGGGACTTCTCCAACTGATTTGTAGGCATGGTAAATAACAGGTGAACCTGTCCAATTTCCAGCAAGTTCTGGCCAGAAGCCACACTGGTTTCCTCATTTGTCTCTTCTGGGTCAGCGGGTTGGGGCAGGAGTGGGGGTAGGGTGAGGGCAGAATAATGTTGTGGATCACTAGGAAGACGACCTGATTGCAGCTGGAAAAATTACTCAGGAGATAATCAAGGATAAAAACCAAATGATTCTTTAGTCCAGCAATTGAAAAATTTGTTGAGTGTCCACCATGTGGTAGACACTTGAAAATTAAGAAGTTGTTGATGGGGAAGCAGTCTGATGAATCAAAATAATAATGATATTGTAACTAATATGTATTTAGCATTAATCATGGGCTACGTGCACATATGACACATATAACACAACCACCCTCTGAGGTAGTGAGATACTATTACTATCCCCATTCTATCGGTGGGTAAGTTGAGGCTCCAAGAGAATAAGGAAGAGCCCAAGGTCTCCTAAGTAACAAAGCCCAGTCTGAGTGTCAGACCCCAAGGCTCAATGTCTTAACCAAAGTGCACACTTTGGCATCGAGACCTGTCTGTTTTACCTGAGCAAGTCACCTAACTTCTGAGTTTTGATTTCCCCTTTTGAAAATTGGGAGTGAGCTAATTTCTCTTATAAGTTGTTGTAAGCATCTGCTGAGTTAAACTACGTAACATTCTCTGTGAGTGTGGCATATATATTTTATCGAGCACCTGCTATAAAATCAACCAACATTTATGGAGCACTTGCTGTGTCCAAAGCATGCTGCAGGGACTACGAGGGATTTAACGATTTCTAAACGGACGTTTTCTCCCCTCAAGAATGGGAACAAGGCAGAGTAAGGCAGTCCTTTAATATGTAGCAGTTACTGTAGGTGATGTGGGGGCTCAGAGAGAGGGAAGCATGGTGGACCCACGTGGCCAGTCCAGGAGAGAGGATGGGAAATGAGGAAGGTTTCAAAGAATCAGTGGGATGTGGATGGACAAAAAAGGGGAGGGAGAGAATCATCACGAGGGAGGAGAGGGTGAGCAAAGTCCCAGAGGCAGGAAGTTTCAAGAGAGCTGAGGAAACAGCATGTGTCTCCATGGGGAGGTATGCGTGAGCGCGGAGGGTGACATCTGACCAAGGTGGAGGACACCATTTGAAAAAGCAATGGGAGCCATGGAGGATACCTGAGAATGCTCCTTAATGCCTGCCCAGGGCAGGACTCTACTCTCCTCTGAAAGCAAGAAGAGGAAACATTTAGCAATGAAACCAAGCACACAAGCTGTGTGTATAAAGGGCTAATAGGTCTTTTATCTTTTGCTCCACAGAACTGTAACCATATCACTTGAAAGAAGGGTCATTTGGAAAACTGAATTAGGTATCTTTGAGGGTGGGAGTAAAAGGGAGATCTGGGGCCTCTTTCTTGGCTTGATAGCGGGGTCTTGTTTTATCATTTTATAGGCAAGTGGCTGAGGTCCAAAAAATTGAAGGGGACCCCCCCCCGCCACCGAGATTGCAGGTGAGCTCAGTGTCACACTCCTCCCCAGTAATTTTTCAGAGACTTTTTACCGCAGACTCTGGAGGCCCACAAGGCTTCCCTTGTGCTGTGTATTGGAGGCCTCCCTGGTCCCCCAGCCCCTCCTGCCCTGCTCTCCGTGGGCGTCAATGGCTCGTGATGTGTTAGCCTTGCTGGTGTGTTAGTCCGCCAGTAAATAAAGAGCCTCAGACCAACAGAACGTGAATGTTTTAGAAGGATATTAAGGAAGTAAGGCTCATGGGGCCAGGGATTCAGCCATGTAGGCTACAGGTTGGGGGAAGGAAACAGGGAAGGACTGAGCTCAGGGTGACTTGATTCTCTGATATATTGGCTAGCCCTGACTTGAGACACGGGAGTAGAGCAGAATCTATAACTGAACGCTTTCTCTCCGTAAAATAATTTGACTTTCAAGATTCACTTACTGGAACATCCATGAAAATCTCCTGATGGGGTACGTAAGCCTAGGGAGAGGCGGGGAATGGATGAGGAAGATGAATTTACTTAGGGAACTAACAGTTGTCAGTAAATACTGGTGCAATGTGGACTTTAGAGATAAAACAAGCAGCTGTTACTGACTTCTGGCAAATTCAGATAATTCATCTCTGTTGGGGCAAGTTACCATGGACTCTGGCGTCCATGGTCAGCTTAAACAATCTTGAAATAGAAAATATTCCTCTTCACCATCTACAGGAATTTATGAAGTACCCCCTTTGGATATGTCATTTTATAGAATAAACCCTTTGTGTTTAGCATGCTTTCAGTAAGTATTTGATAAGCATGAGAGAGAGGCCACAGAATACATTCAGAGTATATTTTCAATATGAACTTCCCTAACAACACAGTGATGGGAGGAGGGGCAGACTCAGCTTTTGTGGGGCCTGAAATTTATACAGTTGTTTTTGTTTTTGTTTTTGTTTTGAAGTTTATACAGTTTTCAAAGTCCTCTTTAAGAAAAAAATTTACAAAATCACGAGAGAAAAAAATGCCTCTGGTCACTTTGATATCATCTGACAGAGGGGAAACGTGACAGAAGGAAAATAGAGAGGACAGAGACAGTGGTCTTAACTGATTGCAGTGGATTTATCTTACTTTTGCAAAATTTACAAAATTTTACAAAAACCTCTGACCAAATGAACCCATTATGGAGGTCTCTCACAAGAGCCTGTGTGAGGGAGGGAAGCGAACCTGAAGTTCATGCTCCTTGGGCTTCATAGGAGGCGTTCCCTACAGCTAGTGTGAGCCAAAATCAGTCGCCAGAACAACCTGAATTGCAGAGTCCTCAAGAGAGAAACAGCACGTGCTGGAGGGCACAATCAACCCAGGACAGTGACAGCGTGCTGTCGTATTGACGGAATGGGCCTCCAACGCCTACTGGCCAAGACCAAGACACACTCCCTGCCCGAGCGGTGGAATCATCTACGGAGCAGAAACAGCATCAGAGCTGGATCAGGGTGGATAGGTAATGTAGATATAGTATCTCATCTTCACAGTCCCATGAGGGACATCTTATTTTCATCCTGAATTTTTACATGAGAAGGCTGAGATAAAGAGAGGTTAATTTGCCTAAGCGGGAGGGCGTTCTTCCCCCCACTAGCCTCTACCACCTCTCACAATAACTGCCCGTTGAAGTCAGGTGGATGCCTAGACCTCCACTGAACGGATCTGGTGACAAGGTCACCTGCCTCAAGTTCACCTACTTGTGTGTGGCTTGTTCTCTGAGCTTCCCGGTGCTGCGGTAAAGTACTCCTTGAAATATTTACAACTAGAGACAGATCTGATGTGCCAGGACTTGGTTCCAACTATTAAAGATATCTAACATCACTATTTTTCAGGTATAAAATCAGAAGGCTGTGCATAGTGAGAAATGCTTGAGGAACAAAGTATGTCTGGCTTCTTGTATGACTAATATTTGTAATTGTTATGACGAAAAGCCCATTTTTTTCCCAATACAGCTTTTTTTAATCCCTACTGATTTAAAAACATTTCTTAATTGAGTTTGTTAGATATAACAACAACATACAAAAACCAATCACCTTCCTTGATGCCAGCAATAAGCAGTAGAAAATGTATTAGAAACTCAGCACTGCTAGTAAAAAATATATACACCCAAAAGTAAGTAGAATAAGAAATGTGCATGATTTGTGAATTGCACTTCATTGAAAGACATTAAAGATAACCTGAGTAAACGAAGACATAACTCATGATAATGGATGGAAGAGTCCATACCAGGAATAAGGTAAATTTTCCCTAAATTAATCTAAAAATTCGACTCCATTCAAGTTGAAACCATGCCGGGCAGTTTCCGTAGCATCAGTGGAAGCGTGGGCTCCTGGGTTCCCGGTCAGCAGCAGAAATGTGATTTCTGCATGTGCAGTGGAAGCCGAGAATATAGGCTTGGGGGCTCCCAGCCCAGTGGGGGCAATGGCTTCCTGGCCTCTAGCTAACTTCTCCTTCTCCATTTTGTTCCACCAGCCTTCCCCACACTGTTGTAACTAATTCCCTGTATTAAATTCTTCTATGCCCGAAATAGCTCGGAGGGTTTCTGTTTTGCTGACTGGACTCTTACTAATACAGAAACACGTACATGGGTGCTACAGACTGAACGTTTGTAGGGTCCGACGAGGCGGAAAGAGCGGGGCTCTCGTGATGGGATTAGTACCCTTCCGAGACACCAGAGAGCTCACTCTCTCTCTCTCTCTCCTCCCAGCATAGGCGCAAGGAGGAGGTCAAGTGAGCACACAGAGAGACCCTGGCTGCCCGCAAGCCAAGAAAGAGGCCTCAGGATGAAATCTACCTTGCAGCCATCCTGATCCTGGAGCCTGGAGCTTGGAGCCTCCAGAACTGTGAGAAGTACATTTCTGTGGTCGAAGCCCCCCGGGCCGTGGTATCTTGTTATGGCCGCCTGAGCAAACTAATACGGATCGTAAAAAGAAAGTCAAGAAAATATCAAAGATTAACTAAGAGGAAAAATCTAAATATCAGTAGAAAAACAGGCTGAAGAGAAAGGAAAAAAAAAAAAAGAGAGACACAGTAAGAGGTGAGAGGAAGGATAAAGAAATATCTCCCTCTCATATCCTCCTGTTGATTTGTTTTCTTTCACAAAGGGAGAGAGGTTTGGGGGGTTATTTTTTGTTTGCCAAGTGAAGAACTG